ATAAAAGTCATTTAATAATGAATAATGAAGACTAACATAAAAGCTAGTAAACTTTTTTAATGAAGCATTTCAGCAAGTGCTTTAAAAAAATCTATGCCGAAGGGATAGGGATAGTGTCTTTTGTATATATTGTGAAACATGAACTAAACTGTATTTATTGGCTTTAAATGAATATTCAATTCATGAAAACTGGAGTGTGGTTGTTTGAAGAGTCAAATGGTTTCAAGCATTGAAGAATCACTTGCCATCAAAGAAAACTCACAATAAGTTATTCATATAAATGCTGCCCATTGCAATAGATTCAAGAGTTAACATTCACAGAGATTCAGAATGGTTTATACAAGCAGTTCTGAATTTTAGGTGAAAACAAAACCAGCTGAGGTCAGTGCATTTTGACATCAGCTAATACAATTTGGTTTTAATCTTCTCTTATAAAAATACTGTCTTATACGCCTAAAGATATATTTCATTGCAAGCCACAGTAAATTGGTGAAGGAGGAGGGAAGGGAGAGAAGTATATAGGGAGATGGGAGCAAGGGAGGAGCAGCTGTGCAGATGCACATGGACAATCTTATCTATTTCTTTAACACTTTTCATTTGCTTCTCTTTCTCATTGTCATTTCTTTAATTCCTAAAGCATTTCTTATGCCCACCACCACAATGATGGAGAAGATAGATATCATATACAACTTGTTCCTAAAATATTAATAAGAAAAATTATACATAAGATGTCTTTCAATTTGCTATTTCTTCCCTGTTGCTATTAACTTTTCTCTGTGATGATGCAATTTAAGGAAACTGCATTTTAGCATCAGGACCCTAAATGCCTTCCCTACTGGGCTGATTAGTTTAGGCTAATGTAGTACTCCATTCACTGAAATCCACACACTTCCTATATTGATTGCGTTATCAGTAGTAGTAATCACAGATATCATTACCAGCCAATTACACAGACACATTTTAACTAGGTAACCTATTCTCCAACATTATCTCTCACAAGTCTTAATTTTGTAATGAAGGTGATCATACTCTTGGCCTAATTAAGTATAGCTACATATTTTGATCTAGTAAGCTTAAATACAACCATATTGAATTATGCAGTAAGTAATTACTTACATATGTTGGTAACAAAGTAAAATGAGGAAATTTCAGTATAATCTATTTCTTACTGTATCTGAAAACTGCTTCACAGAAGGTTAACTCCTTTAAAAAATAACCCCAGAAATGTTTGTGGGTCAAACACAATGAAAGTTATTTCCTGCTCATCTAACAGGATTAGGTTTGAGAACTGCTTGGTTACACAATCCTCCAGAGACCCAGGTGATTTCTGGATTTTTTTTGACGTATTTAAACTCATATTATCCCTAGTGGTGATTTATATCCATATTCTATTGGCTGGATCTTGGTCATATGACCAAGCTTAACTACTAGGAAGACTGAAAATTGTATTCTATCCTAAGGAGAGGAAGCATGGGTTTTAGTGAGCAGTTAGCAGTTTCGGCCATAAGTACTTAAAACCAAACTTGCCCAGTTGCTCTATTTAATGAATATTTATCTTGCTTTAGTGTTATTTGGAACTTCTATCAGGCTTGAATATTGTATTTTTTTTTTGTTTACCATTTGCCAAATGCCTTATAAAACCTAAGTATAAGCCCTTCCCCTTACACTTGCATACATTAAGCAATTGAAGGATGGAGAATATGAAATTAATTTCTTCAAGTTTTCACACAAATAAATTGTGACCATATTATTGTAATTAGTTTCAGAAGATTAGAACGTATATGTGTGTGTGTGTGTGTGTGTGTGTGTGTGTGTGTGTGTGTGTGTGTCACATTTGGGGGCTAAAAATGCCTCTTACTTCAATCTTCTTCTATAGATAAGGAATGAGAAGGCTGGAGAAATGAAATATTACCTAATTGGATAGGGAGTGTTAGTGTAGCATAAGATCCAAGCTCTTTCTCAAATCCAAGTCTTTTTCCTTAACATTGTTTTCATTTTTATAGGCAATCATATTGCTCACAAAACATGTCATTAAATAATTTCCATCCATTTGTAGAGATGAAGTAAAGTGAACTAAATTGTAATTGATATAAGACTATGAAATATCCAAATCTATTTGAAAATAGAGCAAAATGATTTTCCAGACTTCCCAAACTTACTTGAGATCTGTAATAAATTAGCTATTTATTAATGTTTCTTTTAAAAAATTACTTTTCTTATTTCTTTAATAATGGCTTCCAAATAAATCTTCAACATTAAACTTACATAATTCCTGGCATGTGGAAAGAGGTGGAAAATACCATGGTAATTAATATTTAGAATTAAAGGTCAGAGGAAAAATTATAAAATCTGAATTGGACATTATATTTCTTATAAGGCAGAAAATCAAGTCATTAATTTCATTAAAAATTACTCCTTTTTAGTGGTTAAAAAAACCTGTGAAAGCAAAATTTACTGTATTGTTGAGGTGTTGTTCCAACTAAAAGACAAAATTACATATTTACTTACTATTGTAGCCTAATTGTATTCTGTTTCTATGAGGACATACAAAAAAGAAATTGGACAGGAAAAGTGGCACAAATCTAGATGCACCTTAAATCATACAAGCTTCATAGAAAATTATGAAATTATGTTAAATTTGGGGTTATTTCACCATTCTTATTATTTCAGGTATTAAGCAATAATGGTTAAATCAAAATCTTTAGAGTAGCCTACAATTTTTGTTTTAAGTCAAAGAAAACTTCAGAAATCTTCAGAATTGATTTTTGTTATGTTTATTATAAACACAGTAGTAAACAAATATTCATTTACACTCACCTTTAGAGTAATATTTGCTTATCACATTCAGACCTAAATGATCTAATAATCTTGTAAGTGAAGATGAGATAAGACTTTGCTTCCTCCCTGTCCACCTCCTGCAATTGGCAAATAAAAAGGCTATCTAATTTGGAGGTGCTATAAAAGAACAGGGTGAAATATGAACAAGATGTCTTACCAGGCTTTCTTTGCTTTCATTCTTCCTTTGTTTCTTGTGTTAAAAGTCTGTATTCACTTGATTATTGTATTATTCTGTTCAGGTTGCTATAAAAAAACACCTTGAACTGTGTAACTGAAAAACAATAGACTTTTTACCCATAGTTCAGGAATCCAAGATAAAGGTGCCACAGGTTGGGTGTCTGCCGAGGGCTTGTTCTTTGCTTCAAATGTGGTGACTTTTTGCTGTCTTTTCACATGGCATTGAGTGGAAGGAGCAAGGAAACTTGATTGAGCCTCTTTAATAAGTGTAACCTTGTTCATGTAGGTGGTTCCCTCATGACTTAATCACATCCTAAAGGCCTCCATGGTGGATATTAGGAATTCCCAATAGGAATACTGGAAAGACACCAACATTTAGACATAGCATTAAGTTTTTAAAAATCTAGTAAAACATACGCTGTCACTCTGTGCAACGGAGACAAAAAGGCTAAGTACTTGAGTCACTGTATCACCTTTTTTTGTGGCAGTTATTTTTGAGATGCAGATTTACTTTATTCTCTGGGCACCTGGACCATGGTACTGGAATTTTTGTCCAGGCTGTCATTGAACCCCTATCCTCCTAATCTAATCTGTGCCTCTCAAGTAGCTAGGATAATTGTGCCACCACACACAAACATCTTTTAATGTACTGTTGTTTATATTGTTTTGATTTTGCAAGGATTTTATATTCACTATATTGGGAGACTTGAGCTATGTAACTCTTTTTGGCTCATGTTTGGAATATGGATACTTCAGTTATAGACAGAAGATACTCAAATGATTTCTTAAAGTTACATTCTATTATTTTCTACAGAACCAGTTATTGTTACTCCAAGTGGCAGAACATCTATATTGAGAGGAAAAAAAATAAAGAGGAAGAGTCTATCCTTTCAACATTAAATTGAACTCTATTAAAAAAAAAACAGACCCTGAGCTGAGTGCTGGTGGTGCACACCTGTAATCCTAGCTACTCAGGAAGCAGAGATCAGAAGGATCATGGTTCAAAGCCAGCCAGCGCCAATAGTTCTGTGAGACCCTATCTTGAAAAACCCTTCATAAAAATAAGGCTAGTAGAGTGGCTCAAGGTGAAGGCCCCGAGTTCAAGCCTCAGTACTGCAAAAAAAAAAAAAAAAAAAAAAAACAACAAAAACCCAACAGGTCCTTTCTGGGGGTTGGCACCAGTGGGATGGGGTAGGATATAAGGAAAAGAGGGTATGAGGGTAATATGGTGGAAATGTTAGGTAGTCATGTATGAAAATGGAAAAATGAGATCTGTTGAAACTGTTCCAGGAACAGGGGCAGGGGAGATAAAGGAGAATGATGGAAGGGGTAAATTCAACTATGATAAATTGTAAGAAATTTTTTAATATCATAATGTATCTCCAGTACAACAATAATAAAAAATAAAAATAATGAAAAAAATAAAAACAAATACATTTTGAAAAAAATAAAATCTCTCAGTTTTGTAGGTGTATGGAAAGCAATTAAAATAGGGGTTTGAAAAATCCTTACTTACATAATTTAACAGATATACACAAAAGTATAAATTGACACGTTAATTTGTTCATCTTTTTTAAAACAATGTGTGTTAAATATCATTGCATAGAACTACATGAAAAATAAAAGGAATGAATTGAGTAATTGAAATGACACTGTAGTTATCATTTATTTTCAATTACTTGTTAAGTTTCTATCAAGGAAAATACCAAGGGCTGGTTTTGTTCAAATCCCATAAATCTGTCCTTTTTTTAAAAAAGGGTGCATTTTTGTATTCCTGTAAATTTTTAACTCTCTAACTCTGTATATATTTAAGGGGTATTGGCATCCTAAGTAGGACTATATTTAAAACGAGAGTAATTTTATTTTTATAGCACTGAGTTTGCTTTCTTTATACTGTGATGAATCTTTTTTTCTACAACCTTCACTTTTGCATCTTCATGCATCTTTTCTGCATATAATTAACATTCACTTTCTTTTGACTGCAGGGCTGGCTATTTGCCTCAGAATATTCCCCTGGAGATTATCAGATACCTGTCTGAGGAGAAGGATTTCCTTCCTTGGCACGCTGCCAGCCGAGCTCTTTATCCTCTAGATAAATTACTGGACCGAATGGAGAACTACAATGTCTTCAATGTAAAAATATATTAATTTCATCTTTTAATTTTCAGAAGACAAAATATTTTCTCATCTCCTATATGCAACTTATCCTGAGTATTTTAGTTCCTTTTGCTAGTTTATGTTATCATTTTGTCTGATTTCTATGTAACACCAATGACAATTATTTGAAGAAGAAATTTAATACAAGCTACCTTTTGTTCTGCCCTAAAAGTGTCAATTAAGCTTACATACTTCAAAATTTAAGAAAGAATATACATAGAAAATCTGTAACATTCAAATTTACCTTCTAAAAGTTAAAGGGCTTTGTGCTCACAAAGGACTTAACTTGAGTAGAGGGATCCGAAAGATCTTAACAGAATATAGACAGTTTTAGTAAAGATTCTTAGTCATTATTTTTATTCAAAAGGGCATGGTGAATCCAATTCACTTCCTTAATTAACAAGGATAAGATCAACATTGAGGTAAAAGCCCATTCATAATTGGGTCCAAGGGGATACAGGAGAGCAAACAACAGATAATCCAAGCAGACATGAAGGCATGACAAACATTTCAAAATGTTACCTGACCGGATTTTCTAAGCTAAAAACTCAATAAACCAAAATAGCACTGCTGACACCACCTAATCCGTTTAAATAATGATTTTGAATATTAGGATTAAAAACCGCTAATGATCTTTTGATTCCTAAATGTTCTACCACTGTGCTTTCTATTACCTTTCTGACTGTTTTCTTTTCTTTAGTTATTTAAGAACCTGTGCTATACTTTTTGACATACTGACTCTGTTTAACATTCTCATTTGAAATTATTCAAAACTGAATTTTCAGACATGAATTCTGTTTATTAGAGTCATCTAAGTTGTTTCCTTAGTCACCAGAGTTGCTTCCTTTTTTTTCTAGTCTTAAACCTGCAGGAAAGTAACTCTATCAATTTGTTTTTTAAATGAGAGTAATGCTAGCTTGACTATTATTGTTAGTTTTGTCTGAGTCCTCACAACAAACATGCAAAGAAATTGGTCATTACAGCTATGATATAATTTTTATCTGTTAGAGAAATACTTATTATACTTCTTTCTCTAAACACAGAAGCACTACAATATGAAATGTCTTTAAAAGTAAAATACTTTTGAACGGTATAGTATGTCAGATACCTCATTTTTAGTAAAAGTTAAGAATGCTTTTACTGTAATTTCAGTGCTTTCATTCCTTTGACAAAATTCAAGGACCACATTAAAGTGAGGGAGAGCACATCTTACATTAGTATTGATATTTAAATATACCATTGGTTGAATAGATTGTTGACTTTGTAATAACATATCATTACATGGAGGTGTTCTGTGTATCTCGGCTTCAACAATGCCAGGTCATTGCCTGGCTATTATAACAGCTTTGCATTAAATATGCTTTATTGACACAAAATGCATAAATATTAGGTGTTCATTTTCCTAAATTGTATCTGTGTACATTTGAATATATATTTGAATGGATGTCATATTCATGATTCCTCGTTATCCTTATTTTGTTATAAAAATTGTCGTCTAAAATATTTAATAGCACAAATTACTTAGTCATTCAGTAGGAAGAAAAGGGTTTCTAACTATTGGAATGATTTCTATCATTCTAATGTATGTACTTTATCCTTATTTTCTATGTTTGAAATATAAAACTGAATAAATTGTAGCACAGCATCACTCTACCCATAATTTCCTGATATTTAAAAGTATACACATAATATTGCAATATTGCTATACACTTTTCATTGCCAGGATGGAGAAGTTTGAAACTGATATTACCTTTTTACTCCCTATCCCTTTTAGGAATATATTTTAAAACAAGTTGCAACAACATACATCAAGCTTGGATGGCCAAAAAATAATTTCAATGGATCTCTTGTTCAAGCATCCTATCAACATGAGTACTGTTTTATTTTCTTATTCCTTTTTCTTCCCCCAGAGCTGTACAATGACACATTTCTAGTACCACTGTGACTTTAGCAGCATGAGATTACCTTTCTTTCATTCTTCATTTTGCATTTCACTTTCCTGGGAGGACTGCTGCTGAGAAACACGGTTTCCACTGCCTGATAGTGAGAATAAAGGCATTTCCTTGCCATGTTTTAATTTAAGATTTGCCTTTATTGTCACATTGAGATCAGAACCTGTGCCCCTCACTGGAGGTCTATCTCCAGAAAAGAGTTCTTATGTTTAATTTCCATTCTAATTGTCTTATTCAGCAGCATAGGATTTTCATATCTTAAAAACTATTTCATGTTATAATTTACTTATCCACAGTTTATGTAATGAATTGCCCTGCCTTTATTTCCATATATTAATACTACTTTTAATTAATATAATTAATTAAAATGATATACTATAATACTACTTTTAATTAGTATAATTAATACTACTTTTAATTTTCCCCCTTTTGATGATATCTAGAGAACTCCGCAGAGAAGTGATAATGCTGGCATGCAGTTTTGGCAACAAGCACTGTCACCAGCAGGCATCAACACTGATTTCAGATTGGATTTCCAGCAACAGGAACAGGTAAGTCAAACCAAGTCTGATACTATTTAATGGTGCTTTCAGATTTTGGTGGATGAATTCTATTTACCAACTACAAAAACAAAACAGGAAAAACACAGCAAAACTGTGTTTTTAAATAATTAAATTTAGTCCAAACAATTTAAGGTTCTTTATTCATAAAATAATTCATATTTATGACATTTACTCATAAGACAATTACCAGCATAGGTTATAAACAAAGTAGCATAGCAAATGTTAATATTAAAAATAAAAACAAAAAGGTTATGAAAAGAGAGCTTTACTCTTTCAGTAATCCTTGACACTGACCTTAAAATTTTATCTTATCTTAGAATATTGTAATACATAATTTTAATACGAAATGTGAAGTTCATGTTTTAATAGAATTGCATTTGAAAAAAATTATTTTCCTAAATGTCATTTGCTAATGAAAGAATTCTAAACACACTTTAAAGATCAAAGATTATTGGTCTTCTTGCCATTTGAACCTGCTTAAAGTGTCTTTGTGTTTCTTAATTTCTTCTTCATTTCCCTTTTCTTTTTTCTCTTCGAGCAACTATGATCCATTGCTTTCCAGTTTCTGATGTCCATGAAACTAGGGTCTGATGGGAAAGAAGAGGAGCTGGGGGAAATTTGTACAGATGAAGTTGCTTTATTTGCCATCATGGGCTGGTCCCTGACAGATGGCAGTGATGATTCCATGGAAAACAAAGGAGATGTGTTCACGGTCAACATAGAGAACCACAGGCACTATGATTTAAGGGATGAATTCATAATTGTCTTATTAAAAGTTATTTCAATTTAAATTTAATACCTCACTGACTACAAATCAAAGAGTAGCAATTTTGTTTTAAAGGTCTATGAGGGAAATCTCTCACTGCATTGCTTAGCAATTTGTCATAATATTTCACCTTTTGTAACATTTTCTTATTTGCCCCTTAAGTTAATTGTTCCTTGTCTTACACTAAGGTAAAAAGGAAAATATTTTATCAGTATCATCTGTCAATAGATCCATCAAATACTTAAGGACCGTGATTAAATCTGTCATCAGTGTTCTCTAGACTTCAGGTGTCCTCATTTTTAAAACTTTTCTTAATGATTGTCCTTTGTGTTAAGCCTTCTGAAAACTATTATTTAAGATCAGAACATGTTTTAAGACCATTTTCCCCTATGCTAATAACCTTCTTCAAATCTACTACATAGAAATAAGCCATGAAAACATTTGCCCGGAATCAATAATCTAAATGTAAGTTACATATCATAAATGAATAGGAGAAAATTATGAGCTATTTTATCTAGAAATTATAGTACCTACTCCTTCTCTTTTATATTGTTTGTTTTTATCTTGCTGCAAACATGCCCTTTCTTAAATCTGATCATTGCTTTTAACCCTTTAATATTTGCCCAAACAGACATAGCTTCCAAACATTTCGTTAAGATTGAGCTTATACAATGCATCAACATAATTTCTCTAGAGAATTTTCAGAGCCTACATTTTAAGAATACAGTTATTCAGAAAATACTATTTTTAAAATCATTTATTTGAGAAAATCTATTGAACAAGTGTTAGTATTAGATAGTAGCTGGAAAGCAAAGAGGTTATCTCAAAATTATTAGAAGATACAGTTCTATAAACGAATAGCATTATTCTACAGCAAGAACTGAGCACAAGAAAGGAAGGGGTTTGATAGCTCTGCCATTTATTCATGGTAAAATAATTAATTTGGGGCACAAATTCTTTAGGGATCTTTTGTACTTTGTATTCTTTGCTTTGCTTTCCTTTGTAAATAGACAAACATGTGGTTAAACTAACTCTCTGTTTACTAAGATTTGCTTAAGCAACAATATGACATTCCCAAGGACACACCACACTCTGAGCTACCTCTGTGTGAGGATCAGAGGTTTCATCTGACTTGTGGATGACATCTTAGCAACAGAGCAAAAACTAAAATCCTGTAATTGGTGCTGAGTTTAACTTTCTTAAATTAAGTCAATGAAGAGAAGAACAAGATTGCTTTCTAAATGTAGCAATAGGGTAGTCAGGTTTTTTTTTTTTTTTTTGGTCTCAATTGTTCAACTGGAACCTTTGCAAAACTCATCTTAAAAAAAGAACATAGAGATAACATAAAATGTATAAATATTTTGGGAGTTGTATAGTTATGTTAATAAATTTAAGGAACAATGAGTCAGGGAAGTACCAGGGATTACAAATCTTTGAGGTGCTGTACTACTCTGTAGCATCATCTTGACACATTGGGCAGATGGGTAAAATCAGGCATTTGAGTCAGGAAAATGGAACAGATGTGAAAGTTGGTATAAGAAAGAATTATGGAACCAATAGTACAATGAATATCGAGACAGTAGCAAGAGAGAGAAAAATTCAGGAGTTACAGTAGATGATAAATTGAATGAGTTATCATTCTGATCCCTGTTAAAATATTCAAATGCTACAGTGTGTTGAATTGTAATGGTGATGTCATGCATAAAAACGGATTGAGCTACATTTGGATCTTGTTAGGCTGCAATTTGCAGACTAAGTTCAGCAGAATGCCACATTTCAGAGAAGAGACAAATTGCCAAGCTTTCAGTAGAGAACAGTACAAATCACAAAAAGATCCTGCAAACATGAGCTTGGAAAGGATCGTGTGAGACCTGGAAATTTCACTCTAAAAACAAAGAAAAGATGATAGGCTTTTTGTATTTAAGAAAGCATAATAAGGGAATAGAAAGTGATTTCTTTCCTTTGTTTATGCAAGTAAATAAGACATAATAAGCTTAAATTTCACTGAATAAAATATAGAGAATATAATATTACTGCAGATGAATTGCATTTTGAAAATCTCTACATTAACATACTACTGAGGTGATATAATTGACCATAAAGAGATCAAAATATAACATTATGGGTTTTTTCCTAAGTAATAAATATAAACTGAAATTAAGTATATAGCCACAACAATGTGTTTGTTTTCAAATATCTTCACTCTACTTAAAAAATACCCTGAAACAACACAATACCTTCTGCATAGTAAGTTTATTAGATTAAAATCAATTGATAGTTCATTTGGAAACTGAAAGAAAATTAGGAGAATTCTATAAGGAAAGTCCTATGTAGGGGAGCCTGTTTGGAGCTTGACAGCTGCATAATTCATGAACTTCACAACTTATGTGATTAATCATGATATTACTGATGTCATTGCCTTTAATGATGGTTTTAATGAAAAACTATATTTATTTGACCTTTTTGAATGTTTATTAAATTTCAGGCACAAAGTGTTTTTATGTGTACATTCTGACCATTTTTGTTTTCATTTTTTACCAAACACCAATTCAAAACTTACAAAGCTTATTCAACTTGCTGAGATTATATATAACAGCAGGTGGTAGAGCTGGGCTAGGATCTTTAGCCAACCTACCAACTATCCCTGCTGTATCTATTTCCTTAGTGTATCAAATTGCCATATATTAGTAATACACATTTTTTTCAAAAAAGGTAGAAAAAAACCAAATGGACAAAAACTACTTAACAGATTTTAAGTACTTTCTGCAATAAGAGTAGGTAACATTTAATGTTTATGGAGCTGCCTGGCATAAACCAGTGGTTCTCTAAACTTGAATATGCTTCAAAGTCAGCAGGTGAACTTGCTTTGTGGGCTCTACCCTCAGAATTTCTGATTTGGTAGGTTAGAGTGAAGCCTAAAAATATGTATTTTTAATAAGTTCTCAGGTAATGCTGAAGCTACTGCCAGGGCCCCATCAGGGAACCACTGGTATAGGCAGAGCTTACTGCATTTGGAGTTAGAGACACTTGTGATCAAATTGAAGCTTTTCTTCCACGTAAGTTTGGGGAAGTACCTTAGCTTTCTCATCTGAAAAATGGCAATCATGCTACCAACCACACAGGTTATGAGAATTAAATAAAAATATGCTGATCTAATATCTAACCCTCATAGAAAGTAATAAAACATTGACCTTCAGAGTTGACCTCTGTTTGCTTTGACTTCCTCTGTGTAATGGGTGGCATGAATTTTAAATGGAGAAAACAGGTGCATTTATTGAATTCCTTCAGTGTTAGGTCTATATTCCAAATGTTTTGAAGCTATAAGGATGTGAAATATAAAATATGTATATATAATCAAAAATAACCTCAGTTAAGAACAGAAGAACTTTGTTCTCTTTTCCCTATTTTAAGAAATAGTGCTTATCTTAACTTTCAAGTAAATATTACTTTTCTGTCTTGTTCTTCTTAATCACTTGCTATTTATGGCACATGTCTCATCAGCTCTAACTCATATTATCTGTAAAGAGGTCCAGATAAGCCTTTTTCCATTGTGTCTTATCTTTGTCCTTCAATATTTGCTTTCCTTATGTACGAATATAAAGGTGGAGGGACAAAAGGTTCTTTCTGCTGTGATCTATGTATATCTAACTCAGAAACCTCATGCTTTCTTCCTTTAAAATATAGGTTCTAAAAAAAATATAGGTTGTATTCATGTTTACAAGGTGTTGTGTCCTATTCCTTCAGTGCTTTTTTCTGTTCTTCTTATTATAAATTGACATACACTAATGGTTCATAGGTTGAAGTGGTTATATCACCAGACCTGGCTTTTCAGTGTCTGGTTACCAGCATAGGCATTTTGTAAAGGAATTTATACACAGTAATGAAAAACACAGTGCTGCCCAGACATCCAGTGAACTGGAGTAAGGAATTAGGTTTGCTTCTGGCATTATCACTGAATATATGTGGCTTTCGACAGCGTAATTAACTTCTCAGAATCTTAACTCTGGGTTTCTAAAGTGAGGAGATAATCTCTAAGTCTTCAGTGCTTACATCAGTTCTAACAATCTAAATTTTAACACTTACTGTGTATAAATCATGCAGTCTTCCTACAACAGGTCCAGTCGTGGTTCTTTTTTGATTATTTAGTCAAAAAGTACCTGCTTGTGTATTCAAGCATTCAGTAAATACATATGGAACAACTACCAACAAGAAGTGTTGGGTA